TAAGAACTCCTTTTGAATCTAATAGGAAGTGAATGGCCCTAGGAGTCAATATACCCTAAAAATGGATGAGAGTATTGATTCTAGAATCAAGCCATCTGGATGTGAATTTTGGCTCTCCACAGAAATCCTAAGTGATTTTATAAGGGGTCATTTCTCTATCTCATATAAATATAAACAAAAGTTAACAGTACTTTTCCTGAGGCTGTTATGAGACTAAAATTAAATAACAACCTATGCAAATTCTAAAGCACTACCTAGTGTAAGCCCAATAAATATGAGTTCTTAATTATGTTTTAGTATTAAAAGAGAACCTAAGACGGAATTAAGGTATTTCCAAGGAAAGGACCACTTAAATCAAATGAAGTAGGATAATCTGGTAAGTGGTAATTAAATAATGCCTTGAAAAATACACATGTAATTAACATAAATGGAAATTAATAAGCAAAACTTACCAGTGGCAAGGAAATGCAAAGAATTTTAAAAGAATGCAATAGAAGATATAGTTAAAGGAACCTAGTATCACATCACAGAGGTTCTTGAATAACCTTGAGCAACAGAAAGTGTCAAAAGTCACACTCATAGTTGTGATTCCAGAATCTCAGCACCGTAAATCATACACTTATTCTTATTTACCTTTGTCTCCTCAAACAACATAACAGGAGCAAAACAGATGCTATCCTAAATACATGGAAATCAACATTTTATTTATCATGTATTTAACTGCCATACAATTTATGCTTTCCACAAAATATTAACATTCAACTAGTAAAAATCTGATTATCATTTTTAATAATTTCTATCACAAAGAAGGAATTACATATTTGAAATTCTTGTTAAACAACACTTTAGTGATTTTTTATTCTATTACTTATACACAAATCAGTTTTTAGAGAAAAGTTAGCTAGTCAGAACTACTTGATTCTCAGATGTTTATTCTACAGTTCCATCTTATCCATTTCATCACATCAAATACAGCAAGTACCAAAAACTCCTTGGATTATAAGGCAGCAAATGAGCCAAACAATTATTTTTGAGTCAGTACAGAATTTCAACACCTTTTTCCATAAATTTAAGTGTTAAATGGTATGCAATAACTAGGTTCCTATAAAACACATGGAATATGGTGCCAAGTCTACAGAACCTATAAGCTACACAAATCATTCCATAGAAGACTACAAAGTTTCCTTATACAGTAGAAGAAAAGTCCCTCTTACAGCCTGGCACAATATATTTTCTCTCCAGCTTCAGGTTTTCTACTACATTTACTGAAGCCCGGGAAAGGGGTGAAGGAGGAGAAACAAAAAATTGAGGAGCCAATACTATCTGCTAAAAAAAAAAATTCCTCAGCCTTCCTGAGGGCCTCAGAGAAAAGGTGGCCTAATTCTCTTTCCAATAACTAGTTCATGCTTTCAGAGATTTCCTTCACATCACAAGATGCTCAGTGTTTACCCCTCGTTCCTGAAATAAGCATAAAGTGATGATTCCCAGGTTTATCAATACTTCACCTCTTGGAGCCTATTTCCTTGCCTATGAAATGGGGTTCATAGTACCTACTTTTAAGTGTTATATAGCTCACAAAACTCAACAATAGTATTCTCTCCTAAGATCCATCATTCTACTTTATTTTGATGTCACATCAATTACATATAACCTTAACAGTAATATTACTCAGTGAGGCACAAATCATTCAGTTAGGCACTACAGGTACAGGCAAAAGGCACAAAATGCAGTAAAATCCACCTGTGCTTCACCTCTAGAAAAAAAGTCTTCTTCTCCCAGCAGTAAGACAAAGTATGTGAAGGATGCAATGAGATCAAAGAGCCAAGGGCAACTGGAGTTTTGAGATGGGGAAAATGGTCTGAAGATGCTATTGATAGGACAGTCACTGAAAGAATGGTAAAGGAGATGGGTGACAAGGCAGCTCCAGTCTCCCACCCGTCTACCGCTGACCTACACAGAAAGACCATCTTTGGATGTAGAAAGAAATTCCAGGCAGTTAAAACAGGCAGAAAAGGGGGGCGCCCATACCCCCACAATTGTATAAACCATACCCCATCTGAAACGTCCCATCAGAATGTAACTATCCGGCTAAGTTTTGCCTATTTGCAGATTTGCAGATTTCAATCAAATAATAAATATGCCAGGAAGATAAATAACACAAATCTTTATATACCAAACTTTTAAAAAATGCTCCAAAATCTGAAACTTTTAACACAAATTTGAACATTTTGTGTCATATGTCAGGAATACAGAAAAAACATTTACACATATGAAATACAGCCCAAGTATTAATTTAGTTCCTCTTCTGCATAAAATCAGAAAATACAACCAGTGAGGACTGACTGCTCTGTATTGCCTACAACTACCTCCTCCTTTACATGCAAATAAAGTTCATGGGGCCAAAAATGAGCCTGTCACACATGTCAAAAACAGTAACTCGGAGGTCACTCTAGTTACCCCTCCCCTCCACTCTCCTTCACCACATCCTCTGAGATCTACATATCAAATCTTAAATCTGCATCCTCAACTTTAAATCCCTCCCTTCCCTTCAATGCTTAAAACAGCACCAACATTAAAAGGACAGGGCATCACTTATTAGATATCTTATTGCTTCCTACAGCTGGTCTTTTCTAGTGTTGACTTTCTCTAATCTGATGTTTTACAAACTACACATGGCCAACATTTTTCAGTTAGTTAATACATACAATAAAAGAATACACAGCAAGGTATTATTTCATGAAACAAATTTGGCATTTTATAAATCTGGTATTTTTACCAGATTAAATATATTTCTTGTCATGTATAGGATGAAATTTGTACTGTACAATGTAGCCAGAAAATCCAAATTCCACTATCTAAAGCCATCTTTGCTAAAATATTAACCAAATGGTATTCCCCTGAGTAAAAGCTTTATAGTGGTTCTCCATGTACCACGGAATCAAGTCCAAAGTCCTTAACATGGCATTCGTTTGCCCATAAGTCCTTGGCCCCTCTTCTCAGCCTAATCTGACATTTCTGTCATTGTGTTCTTGTCTACCAACTTTTGCACACTCCACTGCCTTTGAGAATATAATTCTTTCCTCCCTTAATTTCCATCCTTCAATATTTAGTTCATCTCTGCTCCCCACTGTCTCTAAATTCTGAAAGAATTAAGCATACCATTCACCAGTGGTCTGCCTGGCCTCTGACCCTGTTAACCACTGCATTGTTTTTGAAATGCCCTTTTCCCTGCATAACACAAAAGCCAGACTTCCTACCTGTGGCTGCTTCTGCTTCACTTCAGTCTACCCTTAAATATTGGTATTCTTTCCATTTCTTAAGTAAGCTTTATTTTCTCAACAAGCTTTGATTTACTCTAGTCTCATAGCATCATTTATCATGTTTATGCCAAGAACTCACAAATCTCTATCACAAACACAGACATGTATCTTATGAGGGACAAACCCACATATCCCATTCTCTCCTGAATAGATCCACTTCTCTTTCCCACTGTCCACCACAAGCATAAACTATCATTGTCTCCCACCTAGACAAACTCCTTAACTAGTCTTGGACCTCCATTTCTGCTCCCTTTCAATCTATTCTCCATTTTCCACACCCCACCCACAGAAATCTTATAATAAAAAAAAAGAGCATGATATACACATATGTGTACACAAATAGATCTAAATCTATATCTGACAAGTCACTCTCCGGTGGAAAATTCTTTTATGGTTTCTCATTGTCCTTAGAGATGAAAGTCCAAAACCCATAGCACCATATGTCCCAGTATGATCTAATCTTTGCCTATCTCTCTGCATCTCCACCTCTCATTACTCCCCCTGCTGCGACCATAGGCTGCACTACAGGAACATTTCCTACTGTCTTCTTCATCTAGTAACTCCTTCCTCCTCATTCTCCAGTTCTTAGAATTTATCTCTCAGTTTTTTAGGGAATTATCTTTGACCCTACAGACTGGGTTAGGTACTCCTGACTCATACATAAAAGATGCTTCTATCACGTATCAGAACATCTAGTCTATTATGTTGACTTCTATAATAGTCTTTCCTGAAAGACTTTAGAGTCTGCTCAAGTTAATCTTGATCAACACTATAAGCAGAAATAAGTAAAATGCCAGCTAAGAAAAATAGCTCTGCATTCTCTGACCAGGATCTGATCTAAGAGGCGTTGTGACTTTCTTCCTTACATCTAGAGGTCAAAGCTTCACATATACAAACAGCCCTCAGGTAATTTCCCAGGGAAGCAAACAAGTGGAGTATTTTGCGATTCCCCGTCCTGTGAATAACTGCTCATTCGGGTTTCTGACACGGTGAACGTAATAGGGAATATGAGGCTCTACTCCTCCACTAGTAGCTCAACAAGGGAACCTCATGGTAGCGCTGCACACAAGATCAAAAAGAGATGACTGGGAGTCCCTGGATCTTCGGAGACCAGGAAAAGGTTTGGGCCGCGGTGAAGTACAAAGATCTTTATTTCCCCACGTACCAAGCGAGGTGGCGCTGCCTCGGTGCGGTCCCGCCCGCCCCGGGATGGAGCCTGATGAGGACGGTGGGACCCTGAACTGCACGGGAGCGTCCTTGGGGTCGAGGACGCGCCTCCGCCTGCCGGGGAAGCTCCGGGAGTCCGAGGCAGCAGGCGAAGTCGCAGCGGCGCCCCAGCGGGGTCGCTTGGTACAGGGCTCACAGCCGGGGCCCGCACTCATGCTGGGACCCGCAGCGCACAGTGCCCGGGCCGGCCCGGACGGAGAGCCTCATTCACTAACCCTGAGAGGGATGGACTGCGCCTCCTTCTTGGCGCCTCCAGGCACCATTCCCTCTCTGCCGCTGTCTGCTCCTGCAGATGCTGCTGCGCTGGCCTCCCGAGCCAGGCCCTAGTCAGCCGCCTGCCTTCCCTCTTCCACAGGCACCCCACCTGCCTCAGGTTGCGCCGCTTTGATTCTGGCTTCGTTCACTTTCCCACCACCGGAAAGCAGCCGTCAGGCGCTTCCGGCTTCCGGGCGTACATTGTCGCAAAACGGAAGTGCGGAGCTTAGCGGGCGCCGGCGCCCGGAAGGTCAGCGTGTGAAGGAGGCGGTGGTAACGCGGGTCCACCCGCTGGTAGTGAGGCCTAACGGCCGAGCAGACAGCCCCGGCCTGACGCGGCAGTGAGGAGCGACCGGGCACTTTGCTGCGAAACTATGGAGGGCGGCGGGGGCAGCAGCAACAAAAGCAGTGGCGGGTTGGCCGGCTTTTTCGGAGCCGGCGGCGCAGGTTACTCGCACGCGGACTTGGCCGGCGTCCCGCGTAAGTATGGGCCTGCTTGCTGACACAGCGGACCGGATTTTACGGCCACGCTAGACGAGGTGTTCTTTTTTCAGCTGCGGGGTCCCAGACCTCAGTACGGGTGGTGGGGTCTGGTGTGTCAGTGCTCTTGGATCCCGCGAAGATCTAGTGGACCTGAACCCTGGAGATGTGTTTTTTCTTCCTTTTACAAAAGTCAAGCCTCGTGCTTTTTCTTACCCCCCACACACTCCTTGTGTGTTGAGCCGTGTATTTGACCCTAGGTTAAGAGGCTTTGCAAGGAAATGCGTTGCACATAAGGAGCCTTAGGTAACTTTTTGACGCAAAGACTCATATTCGGAACCACAAAGTAGGCAGAGAAAGCACACAGTAACTTTTCTAGGCAAGAAAGAAGTACGAATCAGGACAAGCCAGGAAACTACGTAGAGAAGGTGGGAAATGACTTGGGCATTTAAAGGCTTTTTATAGACGCAAAGAAAGAAACCAGGTAAGAATTTTAGGAAAAGAAATAGGAAACATTGAGGGTACGGAAGCGTGAATCTCTACCAGTGCCCATTCCTCAATATGATGAATTGTGCAACTTTGTGACAGTGGGTATTCAGCTGGATGAATTCAGCCTGGACTTTAAATTTAAAGATACAGGAAGGTTGGTCTTGATGGATAAGCTCCTTTTTAATCTTTTTTTAAAGATTATTTATGCACACAGAAATGGGGTACAGCCAGAGGTGCAGGGGTGGCTACAGGATTCACCAGAAACAGTGGGGAGCAAAACAGTACACTGCCAAGGGGAGCAGCTGGGCATGTCAGGAGAGTTCTGCCATGCCATGTGGATCACCTCCAGGCTGGGATTGAGCTCTCTGAAGCCCCACAGCTTGGCTTTAGCTTTGCAATGCAGCACTCCCACCTGCAGCACCACCAGGGAGGGCCCTTGATGGATAAGCTCTTCATAAAAACTTTACAAGGATTTTAAGTATCCTTGTACTATTTCTTTAGGTCCTTAACCGTCAAGAACACAAAAACAACAGCCCTTTCCTAATCTCATCTTTGACAGAAGTGAATCTAGAGCACAGTTTACATGTTTTTAAAACTTTTAAATTTGGGGGCATATGGGCTGTTTGCTGGTTACATTAATTTGATTAAGATTTACAGGTAAAGGCCCTCCCTGGTGGCGCAGCAGGTTAAAGCATTGCACTAAGAAACTAAAGCCACTTCAGCATGAGTTCAATCCCTGCCTGCCTCGGAGGTGACTACATGGCGTGGCAGACCTCTCCTGACCCACCTGCTGCTCCCTTCAGCAGTGTACTTCCTTGATCTGCCTGTTCTGCTCCCTACTCTGTCTCTGGTGAAGCCTCTTACCGTCCCTGCACCTCTGGCCTGTACCCCAGTTCTGTATGAACAAATAAATCTTAAAAAAAAAAAAAGATTTACAGGTAAAGTGAGGGATCCAGGAATGAGCATCATCCATTGATCACCTGCAATGAGCCAACAGATTTTCTGGTATAGGCTTACAGATGTTAAAAAAAAGATAACTGCTGTTTTTGTGGCATTACATTCCCCTTAAAGTGAGCCAAGTGACATAAATAACCATTTCATTTAGTGATAAGTGCTGTAAAGGCACTAAAACAGGGTCATAAGATGGTGATAGAAGCAAGATGCAATTTTAGGATGGGTTAGGGGTGTTGGCATTTGAGCTGTGACGTGACAGATGCCTGGGGAGAGGCAGGTGTCCCCAGGAAAACAACAAATACAAATGCCAAACTTCTCATGCTTGAGAAACAGTCTTTAAGCCCTGTGGCTACAGAATTGCCAAGGGTCTTGGAATGGTAGGACATAATAACATCAGATGGGTGAGGACTGATAGCCAGTGGTAGGGTGTTATAAAACCATAGTAAGGAGCTTGGATTTTGATTACAATATAAAGGAAAAAATTGCTTTCCTTTACTTAAAAAGTTACTGGTTGCTACCCCAGTTCTTGTATGTATAAATAAATAAATAAAACTTTTTTTAAAATAATGTTGTGGCCCTCCCTGGTGGCGCAATGGGTTAAAACGCAGCACTCCAAGGCTAGAGCCACTTCAGCATGAGTTTGATCCCCGCCCCAAGGTGACCCACATGGCGCTGCAGACCTCTCCTGGCCCGCCTGCTGCGTCCCTCAGCAGTGTAGAACATAAAGTGAAGGGACTTGGGCAATAAGAATTCCAGTTAGTTTTACTTTAGTCAAGTGACTTTAGTAGCTAGACTGGGATAGCAGCAATGAAGATGATAATAGATAATACAATTCAAATTAGATATTGGATGTAGAACAGTAGGACTTTTAGTTGATTAGAAGATCAGAGTTATGGACAGTGGATAGATTTGTGATGAATAATCAGCTGAGATTCAGAGGATCCAAAGATTATATTTAGAAATGTGAGAAAGTTGATTTTCCTACTTAATTTTTTTCTCTTCAGTTAGTGGAATTCAAGTTTGGTCTCTGAGTGTTCTCATTTTCTTTTAACTCTAATCTGTATGGTAAGGACCCCAGAATTACCTACCCTTCCAGAGTAACTAAACTCTTCTCGGTAGCTGTTTACACTTCAAGTAGTCCCCACTGCTGACAAGAAGGATAAGCATAGAAAAGTGGGAGGAAATTTCACAGGGAGCCTGCAAATGGAAATTGCAGACCACATGAAACAAGAAAAATCAGAAGTAACATTAAAGGAAATAAGGATTTTGTTGAAATACTGTGCTTTCTTTTTTTGTCTAGTAACCGGTATGAACCCTCTGTCTCCTTATTTAAATGTGGATCCACGATACCTTGTGCAGGTAAGATTACAACCAGTGCTTTATTATTTTTTTAGTTTTGCACTTCAGCTTACCATTTTAACAAATACATCAAGTAGTTAATGAAGATTTGATCTGTGTGATACGTATGTCTAGAGGCACTGATTCTCTGGTCTCCTTTTTTTTTTTTTTTTGACAGCTGTGGGAAGTAGGCTTATATCTTTCTCTGATACTAGCCTGTTGACTCCCATGAAAAGGGCTTGGATTTGGTAGGGTTTTTTTTTGTTTGTCCTTTTTTTTTTTTTTTTTTTTTTTGATTTTTTATGTTATGAAAAATACACATAAAAACATACTATGTGAACCATTTTTAAGTGTATAGTTCACTGGTGTTAAATACATTTATAATGCCATACAACCATCACAGCCATAATTTTTAACCTCCGGTAACTATAACTACACCCATTAAATAATAACTCCTTATTTTGCCCTTTCCTGGCTCCTGGCAGCCATGATTCTGCTTTCATTTCAGGTATTTTTAAGTACCTCATATAATTGGAATCATAGTCTTTCTGTGACTATTTTTTTTCTCACTTAGAATAATGTCCTCAGGATTCATCTTTATGATATCATGGTCAGAATATTCTTCCTCTTTAAGACTAAACATTGCCCCTTTGAATAATATTACATTTTATCTGTTGCACACTTAACTTGCTTCCACGTTTTAACCATTGTAAATAATGCCATGAAGATTGGTATACAAATATGTATGCCAGACTCCCTTTCAGTCTTCTGGTTATATATCCAGAAGTACAATTGCTGGATCATATGGTAATTTTATTTTTAATTTTCTAAGAAACTGACGTACAGTTTTTCAAAGCAGCTGCATCATGTTCTATTCCTACTAACAATACATGAAGGCTCCATTGTCTCCACATCTTTGAAAAACTTGTTATTTTCTGGGGATGACTGTTAGCATGGTTATGAGGCGGTGGTTCATTTAGGTTAGTTTTTTTGTTTGTTTTTGCATTTAAAGTACAAGGTTTGTTGTTGTTTTGTTACTGAAGTACCATTGTTTCACATCCTTACTTAGTGTTTTGACAGTATATAGGATTTCCCCACTCAGATGTAGTCGCCTCAGCACTCCCACCACCAAAGCACCACTGTGTATGATTCACAGGTACAGGTTTACACCTCTTCAGATATGTATTTACCACACCTATCATCAAGGCACCAAATAGTTGTCCAGCTTGGCACCCCTTCTTCTTTGTTCACTCCCTCTCCCTTCCCTCTGGTAGCCTCAATTCTATAGTCAGATTTCTGGAGTGAAGCTTTGGTTTGATTTTTGTCTGGCCCTTCTTTTTCTCTGTATTCATCATAATCCTTGTCTTTTTTTTAAATAGGTATTTTTGGTTTTCTGGGGTTGGATTTTATAATTCTGAGTATTAACCCTTTGTCAGATACACTATTCCCACATTTTATTTGACTTTACTGATACTGTTTTAGAGATGTATATTTTTTATTTTTTTTTTTATTTATTTTTTTTTTTTAAAGATTTATTTATTTATTCATACAGAACTGGGGTACAGGCCAGAGATGCGGAGGGTGAGAGGATTCACCAGAGACAGAGCGGGAAGCAGAACAGGCAGATCGACGAAGTACACTGCTGAGGGGAGCAGCGGGCGGGTCAGGAGAGGTCTGCCACGCCATGTGGTCACCTCCGGGGCAGGCGGGGATCGAACTCATGCGGAAGTGGCTTCAGTTTCTCAGTGCAGTGCTTTAACCCGCTGCGCCACCAGGGAGGGCCTATTTTTTATTTTTTTAATTTCATGAAGACCAATTTTCTTTTGTTGACCTTTAGCTTTGGTGTTATATTCAAGAAAACACAGCCAAACCCAATGTTATTGGACTTTTCTCCTAAGTTTTTGCCTTCTGAGAGTTTGGTAATTTTAAGTCTTTACATTTACATCTTTGATCTGAGGGGTTTTTTAATTGACTTTTATTTACTTACACATTTAAAAACTGGGGGGTAGGCCAGCAGGTGGGAGGGTGGGCGTTGAGAGGATTCACCAAAGACAGTGTGAAGCAAAACAGGTGGATCTGCTAAAATACACTGTTGAAGGGAGCAGTGAGTAAGAGAGGTAGTCTGTTGCACCATGTGGGTCAGCTCCCTGCTGGGGATCAAACTCCTGCCACATTGACTGTTGATAGCTTGATAGTCTGAGGCTTTAATGTGCCCGCAGGGAGGCCCTGAGTTAATTTTTTGTATATTGTGTTAGGTAAGGGTCCAACTTAACTCCTTTTCATGTGGTTAACTATCTAGATACATAGCACCATTTGATGAAAAGGCAATATCTTTTCCCCTGGAATGGTCTTGGCATTCTTCTTGAGATAACTTGACCACAAGTGCAAGGGTATTTTGTGGGCACAGTCTATTTCATTAGTCTCTTGTCTTTGTCTTTATGCCAGTATCACACTATTTTGATTGCTGTAACTTTACAGTAAGTTATAAAATTAGGAACTGTGATCCTTTAGCATGGTTCCTTTCAAGAGTGTTTCATTGGGTTCATCAAGAGGGTGGGTTTTCTCTTTCTACAAAAATACTGTTGGTATTTGATAGTAGTTGCTTTGGGTAGTACTAACATCTTAACAATGTTAAATATTCCAGTCCATAAACATGAGCTATCTGTTTATGCCTTCTTTAATTTTCTGAGTTTTTTGTTCTTTTTGATGCTGTCATACACAAAATTGTTTTTTTGATCTCTTTTTCAGATTGTTGTGTTGACACTGTAAAAATGAAAGACAAAAAACAATTTCATACCAGTAGCATCAGAAAGAATAAAATACTTTTCTATGGAAAAGTAGAGTAAATACATTACTACAGAAATGCAGAACTACCCAAAAAATTAGTGACAAATCTTAAAGATAAATCAATTGGAAGATACTCCACATTCTTCGGTGAGTTAACGTTGTAATAACAGTAGTCCCCAAATTGACTGGTACATTAAAAATGGTCCCTATGGCCCTCCCTGGTGGCGCAGCGGGTTAAAGCACAGCACTGGAAAGCAGTGTACTTCGTAGATCTGCCTGTTCTGCTCCCTGCTATGTCTCTGATGAATCCTCACCCTCCGCATCTCTGGCCTGTACCCCAGTTCTATATGAATAAATAAATAAATCTTTAAAAAAAAAAA